CCAGACATGAATGTTAAAATCCTATTACCCCGTGAACATGATAAAATCTTCCCACCGGCTATTTGGATCAACGGCTTTGCGATAAAGCCGAAACTTCATCTACAAAGTGTAGTTGCTAATGACTAAAGAAAACTTTTCTATATTGAAAAAGCCTCCTCCAGGCTATGTTAGGCATGACGGAGTTTGGCACTCTACTGCTATGGATGCCTTAGAAAAGCCGAATAGCCTGAACACATTCTTTTTATCTTGTTTTTTCTCCACAACGGCAAAACGGTCCACAAAGGCAAGATGACAATCAAACTCGTTTTTTATACAAATGGAAATGCTCCCACTAGGGTCATTTACGATAAAAGCTTACATACAGTAGGTTTTAAATAATACACAGATAAGGAGTTCACTGAGGCGAATATGTATGTGCATATGGATGTGGTTCGAAGAAAAATGGTACTTTTAAAATATATATTTCGTGCTTAGAGGCACTAGGCATTATTGAGCCTCCAGGCGTTGGCAATGGGAGGGGGTCCCAGCGTTTCTCTGTACATTATTGTTCTACAAAGAGATCAGGGGCGGGCAGAAGCTAAGTGATTTGTGGAATGCTGTTGAGTTCCTTTATTAACGTTATATAACAGGTGTTTCACTTGGTTCTTCCCTTCTGGGCGTTTTATTCTGAATGTACGTAGCTGCAGATAATGTTCTATCAGATAATGAAATATCATTTGAGATGGGTCTGTTTCATACAGGAAGATTAAATCGCATAAGATGAATTCTTCAATATTAACCAGGGATTGTAAAATAATACACCATAATGTAACGTTGCGTTTACTAAAATGATTTATCCAAGGAAATAATGAAACCTTGCCTTATTAGTGAACAGTCACGGCAAGCTTTTACTCGTGCACATCGTTGAAGAAAGCCAGTGGCTTTAAGAAAACGTCTGTTTGGCTCGGATCCAAAATCCCTTGTAGTCAAAACAGTTCCAGGGTTAAATCCCCGAGACAAGTCTAAGGCGTTAATGACCAACGCAGAATGATGGTAGCGTTTTCTTACAAATGCTATCATAAGTCTTGCTTAGGGGGCCGTTACATTAAATGTCAAATATTCAAGATCTAGTAATTCTGACGAATGTAGCATGGTAAAAAAAGTCCCAGTACTTAGTGTTTTTGAGGATCTCACTAGGTAACGCTTGTTAGATAGATGAATCTGAAATCAAACGTGCTAAACATTACGGTTTTTTTTGCTAGTTATCTTGTAGCGACAGCCTACTAGAAATGCAAATATCGAGTGTAATGTCTAAAGTCCTAGAACATGTTTGTAACTCGCAATCATAGAGTTCACCCATCCATTAGGCCACTTTCCGTGTTGAGTAAAGTCTCCCTTAGCCATCATAACATCCCCATTGAAAACCATTTCTTGTTTGAAACGTTTTACCTTCTTCTGAGTGACTTTCCAAGGTTATAAGGCATCCCCTACCTAAGAAGATACCAAAGCCTGGCTAGTTTCTAATGGATTTAGCAAATGCGTTCTTTGAATTTTCTATTCCTCTAAGAGCATCTCTCTATACCCTGAGTGTAACCGAGTGGAACTTGCTTAACCTCAATGTGACCTTTTTGGAATGTTCTTCAGCGATACAATGGGTGTAATGTGCAAGAATCCCAGTGCGTGGCCAACGTAATTGCTTAGATTTCTTCCCAGATGACTGACCATCAATCACAGGGTCTCACGTCTATGAAAACAACTTTCCTCTGAAAAGCTTCGTGAAAGTTATTTTTTAATGCCTTGGCCTCACGATGCGAAATGCAATCTGAAATGCATAAAGGTTTCTATGATAATGTCATCCCTGTCAAATCCGGCGCCAAAAGTCAGTTAGCTTTATCGCATCACGTACTTTCACAAAAAAACTTTTATGATCTTCCCATCAAGTGAATACCTTCTTTTATGTAACGTGGATGGCTATATATTTCCGCGCTCTCCTCAACAGGACATTGGCCATCAAAAAAATGCCATACTTCCGTTGCCCATCAAAGTTCCTTACGAGTAGTTCTTGTATTTATGCTAAGGAAAGTTACTCATTTAACTTGTAGCTATATAGTTCGCCGTAGAATTGGTTAATGATAAATACACTCTTTCAATTTATTAGATCCCCTAGATTTAAAACAAAATTTATTTCTGTAAAAACTCACGAGGCATCAGTGTAAATTCCGTCGACAGAATTTAGCCATATATGGTATGTCTTGAATAGTTTGAAAAGTTCCAGTGCTCTAATTATGAACTGCGCAAAACGAAACGCGGCCGTGAAAGACGATTCCTCGGCTTCTCTCTGACCGCATCGGTAATCGGTAAAATAGAGTCGTTTTCATTCCCAAGCGGAGAATGACATGTATCCCCGGCAAAAGTAATTAAAGAAAATCAATCATTGTAATTAATCCTATTAAGTAACTAAAGGCCAGAGGGATGAGTGTTAATTCTATCATACGAGAATTAGGGTGAATAACAAATGTCCCAGACTTCATAGACACGCTGTCAATGTTTGTTATATTCTCTGCTGCAAAATTAAAAAAAAAATTGTATCTTGAAGTAAAATAACTTGAAACGGTGCCAAGCCTGAACAGCTTTCTTTCCTCTGTTCAAAATATTTCCCCAAGATAATGATGTATTCTCAGGCTACCTTGTTACTGTTCTCTTCATCTTTGTCACATGCCTTAAGCACTACAATGTCCTATGGGAAATTTAGCCAACTTATGGTTTACTATTAATCGGAGACGCAAAAATACTAGGTATTGATATTATGACTGCAAGGTCCATTGAAAGGTTTTTTGAAAAGTCCAGTTTAGACTTTGACTATAAACATTCAAACCTTATGACTGAAATATATTTTCCCGAGAAGCTAATATAGCTTACAACAATTATTATTGGCTTGCTATTAATTCTTAACGTTTAATTATGACATGCTGGGCATCGGTCCAAAGAAGATTATTTAGGTTTAAAATGAGTTTACCTCGTGTGCTAGAGTTTGGAACTTTAAGTTTTGTATTTCAGCAATTTTAAAAGTCGTCATTGAGTTTTGGCCCGTTGATAACATTTGACAGCAATTGCCCCTACTAACAAAGAATGGGCGTGAACATAGAATACTCATGTGTCTCGTAATGTAATGCATTTGTTTTTTCAATATCATTCATACCACGTCCCTGGAAGAGGGTAATGATGCTGTAATAAAACACTTAATTGCCTTTGCGAAGATGCGTGGAAAATTAATCTACCACCCTGCAGCGTCTTATTACCGACGACTCCTTTCTAATTGTGCCTATGTGATCAAGGTGATAAGATTTTTTTTCAAGATAAAAAAATATATATTTATGGACCTTACCATCATCTTTATAGGCCATTTCTTTTAAACGCCGGTCAAAGGATGTTTGGATTGGCAGTTAATTCTTATATCTTGTTTAACGTCCCTTGTAAATTCAATGCGGAGCATCTATAGTACAAGAATAACGTAGGTGATAAAATTGCAACAGCTAACACCATGGAGACTTGAGCTCTATCGGATTAGGGGAGTCATTTTCAAAGGATAAAGTGCTCTGATTAAACGTATTCGGGCGGGATCAGGAGGATAAAGGAAAGTATTATCGTCTGGTCTCTTAAGGCCTCGGATTATTGCAGTCATGATCCAGTTTCTTGCGTGTCAGTAAGTATAAGTAACTTATCTTTCAGGGAGAAAAAACATTGATAATGCAATGCTTCGAGACGAAAGTTATGTTCTCGGATAAGCCATGGTGAAGTGGCTGTGGTCTGAATCTCAAAGAATGTCAACAGCAGAACTCAAAACCTGTAAACGGAATAGATCTTGATGGTATTTGGAAGGTGAGTAGCGGTTGTAGATAGAATGTCAAGTTCGAATATGGTTCTCCTGGCGGTTTCCCACGATATTGCATTGGCTTGTGTATGTAAGTATGTACTCTTATATAGACAACATAACGAGTGTGAATTGAATTATACTATATTAAGTGGATAGGTAGGATTCACGAATAGGAAGGTCATGTTTAATAATGGTTTCAAGCGGGGACCTGGGGTACTGCAGCGGAGCTTTAGATTTCGATGTAAAATTTGCTGAAAGTGGCCCCTCTAAGAGTTCTTTTGAAACTGCAGGGGCATTTTTTTAAATAGTTGAAGAAGGATACATGAAAAAATGGTAGACCGATTGTCGTGATTTTTAGTATGTAGTTAACTTAAGTGATCCTTAACATGGTTAAGCAGACAAATTATAATTTGCAGAGTTAATACCTAAATCTTAGAAATCCTGTGTACCTTCCAGAACTTCGCACGTAACATGCAGCGAGTTTGCAGGTTACTTCACAGAGAGAGGGCAATAACTCCAGCAGAGACCACTTGGGACTTTGTGGATATACATATTAACTGAGTGGTATCTGGTACCCATGGCACGTTCTCACAAGCCGCTCTTGTTCCAATGAGACACGGTGAATCGTATTCCTGTCGCCATGGCACATGATTGATTGATCACTTTCCGGTGGCGATATACACACTATGGGGTTCAATTTACATATAGTATGTACCGAGCGATATTTTCTAAATTTAGCTCTCGACTGATAGTTGAAATGGACTACATTACCTTACATTTGATTTAATCAAGTACATTTCGGACATTTTAGATGTGCTGAAATAACAGTATACAAATGCAATTAATGTTGAGGACAAAATGCCTTTCTTGCTTATTGTTATTTACTTCCTGAATTATATTCATTTGATTCATTCAATGTAATAATGTAAGAATATGATAAAGATTGGGATTCAAACAAGCCACCAAGGCTTTTTGCCTGTTGTTTATGTTTTGTGAAATTAGCTATTAGTGATGTTATTTATGTGCGAATAAATCAAATCAAATCAAAAACCATACCCAAATTTAACCAGCGTCATTTTTTTCTTCTGCAGGAAGCATGAACTCGACGGTGTCCAACACTACTGACAACATGGACACGTACATCTCTATGTTAAAGCATCCTCCGGCTATCATAGCTCTCTTCGTGGTCGGCTACGTCATCACGTTCATGGTGACGATGATAGGAAACAGCATCGTCTGCTACGTCATCCTGAAGATTCCCCACATGCGTAACGTGACGAATTACTTCGTCTTCAATCTGGCCGTTAGTGACATGCTGTCTGCCATCTTCTGTATGCCCTTCACGCTGGTGGACCATATCATCAGAGGTGATGTGGGGAAAAGTTTGAATCAATAGCTGCATGCTGTGAATCATTTAGAAACATAGCTCATAAGAAGGAAAAGTAGCTGAACTTTGGAATCTTCGATTTGTTTTAAACGTATAGAAAACTATCAAGCAACAATACTCTCAGGTATTGAATGAAATAGCTTAATGTGTTTGATAAAACGCTGACCATTAGAGGGTTTATATCTATATGATAGGGGACTCAGATTAGAATGGCACATCACTATGTCTTGAAAATATCCAATTTCATGGTCTGATATTTTTTAGCATTTGGTACTGCATTGATTGTTGTATTGACGATAAGTTCATAGTATGTCCCTCAAGGGTTCCTTTTGGTACCTTAGGCCACCATTATCAGACTTATGTGGTATATATGCCGCGACTATTCCCGGACGTACCTATTAAACGTAACTTGGGACGGCTAAAAGTACATTGGGATAGATATGCAGGGCTCACTTCACAAAATTCGGGATTTACCAATTGCGGTTAATACACACCGGAAATCTACATATGTGCGCCTACAGCTAGTTAACTGTAATGGAAGTTTATTGCAAGTTCCTACCCGTAGGCTAATTGCAAGTATATGTTACATGGAAGTAAAGCTAAGGATGGACAAGGGATAACAATATAATATGTGACTACTCTAACTACTCAGCACTAAATTCTAACTTGTTTGGTATAATAAAAGTAACCATTACCAGACATAGCTGTCATTTATCATCTTTGGTAAAACTTTTTATGAAGCGAGGGCTCTCATGTCGAAGAAGAAGACAGCTTAGAAATTCATTTAGCAACATACCTCTCAAGAATCAAGTCTTTTTGTACAAGGTTATTCAGCAACACGTTCTTCAGAAAGATCATAGAGCTAGTATAAGTTGTAAATTGTTCCACAACGTGTTTTCTTGCAGTCCATTCCTTCCTTGCATGAACGGATATATTTTACTGATAATGACAGTTATGTAAGTATCAGATTGAACATTTGAGGTAGATACTTAACGTACTTCGTAAATGGTATATCATTTATCATATTTTCAATTAATGCGTATTTTCATGTTACTCGGAATCGTTGCAGGTTGGCCGTTTGGTGAGGTTATGTGTAAGGTGTTCCCTGCCATGCAGATCATCACAGTAGCAGCATCACTTTTCACCCTTGTGGCCATCGCCTTTGACAGGTGGGTGCCTACAATAAAAACATCTACATCACCTTATGCATTTTCCCCCTTTTATTCTAAAAAATCAAGAAGTCCTCAGTGTTCTCTACTTCAAACGGTGTACAAAATGTAATCTCGAAGCATCTTTACCGGTGGCAGCAGTGTGGAACAAAAAATCACAACCATGCAAAAAGCCATGCCACATGTAAATCTGCTTGAAGATTGCATGGTTCTCTTTCTTTAATTAACAACTTAAATACCCCTCCCTAAAATCATTATATTATAATCGTACAGGAAGCATGCCCACACTGTAAGGTGTTAATTTTAGTTCCAAGAATTCCGGTAGATGGCACTGTTGAGTTTCATCCCATCAATGTACAATTTGTACTATCATGAAATTTTATTTACGTACGTGTTGGTAGTTGCATGTTTAAACTTAAAACTTTAGATACAACACAAAAAAATTCTCTCGGCTAGAGCTTTTGACTGGTCTTCCTCCGTAGACCGATCCAGTGAGGCTTGTCACATGGCTTCTTTGAAGTGTGACGTCAACAATGGGTCAAAGGTAAGAACATTGGACACCGAACAATACTTTTTCTGAGAGGGGTAAAGAGGGCATTTTGCACTTGGGCCAATCACATTTAATTCAACCGCGGCGGGGGACGACATAGTCTACAACATACTTTTGACACACTGTTGACGTCACACTTCAGAGAAGCCACGTGACAAGTCTTACAGGGTCAGTCTACTGTGTCTACTGACCAGAGTGACTGGTCGAAGTTCTAGGGGAGAGAATTTCTTTGTGTTGGATCTAAAACATTAACTTTAAATATGTTAATTTTGTACTTGCTTCATTTAGTACCATAATGATTGTTAATCTATAACGTTAATTGTTTTGTGTATACAGGTTTTATGCTGTCGTGCACCCGACAACCCACACCTTTACGTCCACAGTAGCTGCTCGTGTCATAATACTTGTGTGGGCCATGGCCATCACCCTCAGCATTCCGATATTCATTGTTCAAGAAAGCCACTACCAAGTCTACAACGATATAGATCTAACCCTACATACATGTTTGGAGAACTGGCCTTTCCATAATTCCAGAAAGATTTTCACAGTCTCACTGCTTGTTATTAGTTATGTTGGCCCTCTCACTATCATAACTATCTTGTACACTCGGGTCGGCGTGCAAGTGTGGTTCATGATGCCACCGGGTGTCGTTAAAGTGCGGGGTGATGGTCAAGGTACCCCCATGCAGAGAAAAGTTAAGGTTGTGAAAATGATGGTTGCAGTTGGCGTACTATTTTCTCTGTCCTACCTTCCCATATTCACCTTGATGATGCTTGCCGACTTTGGCAACCTAAGTGAGGATCAACAGAATTTCGCCTATGTTTGGATCTATCCAATAGCAAATTGGCTTTCATACATCAACAATTCTATAAACCCAATAATATATGGCTACTTCAACAGAAACATTCGAAAGGAATTAAAGAAAATGGCTCGGAAAGATAAATTTGTAGGAGACTTTGCCATGTCAAAATACAATTCTCGAACTACTTCCAGATATGACAATAGAACACGAGATACCCAAGTCGGTACCTCCGGCTAAACAAACTGGGCCCATGGCCTAAAACTGACTCGGTAAAGCCCTAAAACGTCAAAAATAATTCTAGTCCCGAATTCGCAAAAAACGTAGTCGGGGGTTACAATTCAAGCCTCAGGAGTTATATGGGATGATGCATAATGGAAAAACTTGTCTTTGTACTACACCGTAGGGGTCAATTTATAACTTCCTCTGAATTCCATTTCTCCTACATTGCGTCCTTCAGCTTCCGAGATGAGTAACTATCAAATAAATCTTAAAAGAGATGGAAATGTGATTTTGTATTCATCTTTTATGTCTCTAATGGCTAAGGGCATAAACTCGTGGGAGTATTCAGCTCAAAACAAATTACCGGAGTTGTCTGCCAGAGCTCACTGAGTCTTATATATGGGCTAACAGTAAGCTGACATCAGTCAGAAAGACACGGCATAAAGTAACACAATATTGCCCAAGGCAACAGAGTCAGAGTTGACTGCACGAAATCAAGCTATGTTCGGGCCCAGTTATTTGCTGAAGGCTGATCGTTTACGATGCGGCAGTTACATTCTGCCAAAGCAACACATTTAGTCGGAAAAATGCACTTGTGTTGAATTTCAGTAACTCACAAAACGAGTGTTGCATTTGAGCCTATCTCGAACATGTTTACAACAATGAAAAAGAAAGACATTCTCGTAAAAATGAACGAACAAAAACAAGGTAGTAACAACAATAAAGAAATGAGAAGCCATTACAAGTTCAGCTGGTGTACAAATCAAAACAAATCAAATGAAATATACCTGTCTGCAAAATAAAGTTGAAAACTAAATATTTGATAGTTGTTAACAAAAGGCAACATGAGTTACCCCTGAGATCTCGAGAATAGTTGAGTGAAAAATACAATGTTGTCAGTGTTGGTATTTATGTCTTATGGTGAGACATTGATTACGATAATAACATATCGATTCGTCCGTTGATGTACAGTGCGTGGGTAGTGTACTTAACGGTGCACACCCCAATTCTTCCGCGACCGGGTTCCGTGGTAGTGCGCGGTAAAAAAGTGACGAAAGGGTTTTGAGGGTCCAAGTTTAAGGTGACATTTCTCATAAACGTAGCCAAATAAACTGGGGTGTACCCCCTTAAAAGACATGATAAAAGAAATGCTGTCCTTCTGTAAAGTCGATCTGGTGTGGGCTAGTTGTCAATACCTTATATCAACTTCAGGCCAGACTGACTCTTTTATGTATAAACATTAGAATTATTCCGTTTGCTATTCCGCCATCCCCTTTGTATAGCAGTCCTAATTTATGTGCCATATCATTATTATAATAAAAGTAAAAAAAGATGTCAGACTGATTTATAATCCTGATATGACATGTCAAAATGGCACATATGTATATACTCTTGGGGTCAGTTTTGACCCCGTACGGTGGCCTGGGAGTTAATAACTCTCAAGTGACAGACCATTTACTATGTTAATAGACAATAGGATGAGCAGAAGAAGCATAATTTGGTTGGTGAAATAAAAACAAGACATAAAATGTACCCCCTTTGCTTCTAGAAATCGAACTTGTTAATTAAAATGTGCTTCGTAAATTCTTCTAAAAGGTAATATCTAGTTGTTGTGTTGACTAAAAATCAGTGTTGTGCTGATGAATATGTTCAGATATGCGTCGAAGTATATTCCTGGAGCTTTAGAGCTTCGATAAAATGTGACGTTCATAAACCCGTTGTATGACAATGTGTTTATATAAGACCTAGCCATATACCTTAGTCATAGAACTGATGGTTACATCCGGTAACTAGAAGGCAGATATCCAGATATAGCCAAATAAATATTTATATCTATTAGATTGTACAGGTTTTGCTGACAGTGATCCGTCTATCATATGTAACTAGTCATTACTAGGATAAACTTAAGAATGCAGACATTGTAAAAATGAGACAGGTCTATATTGGTTAAATTGCAAAAGAAAAGGTATATTTTACAAACAGCAAAGAGTCTATTTTGAGAAGAGACAATGCAAATTGTTTGAACCTTTTGGGTTGAGGAAAGGTTCCTCTAACTAAAAGCCTACTGAGTCAGTCAGGTGAAAGAATATAGCATATTAAGTCGTTGGGGATGTATAGATCAGTTATATAAGGCACATTGTCATCCATATGTATGATGATAAGAGCAGCGTTAATGGAAAGTAACTCAATATATTGGTGCGAAACATTATTTAATCGAAAAATATCATATAGATACCAAGCATGTGTTGTTTGTGGCATGCAATGCAATGTTCAATAAGCAGATATTCTACTATCACTGGCGTCTAAAAGAAATGTTCTGTTTTGCTGGGAATGGACCAATTTCTCCTTTGTGTAAAAACCTTGCAAGAATATGAATACAGCTTGTTACTAGAGGACGGGTCAAAGGTTAGCTCTGAGCCCTAGGAGCCTTAGAAGCGTGTACGGAGGCTTAGTGACCTTGCTAGTCACGTCTCTACCGAGACAGTCTATTTCTAGACTGGCTGCGCAATTACCAACCCACTACACCATAACAATGATTCAAAATACAGAACGTGATGCAAAAAGCAAACGTTATTCATATTCTTGCCAACTATCTACCTATCTAGATATGTGTGTCGTGTATATTTTGTGTGTTTGGACTGTTGTAAATGATTGGCACGTAGAGTTATATTTGATGAATGCCGGCAAAAAGGAAGATTTCCGTATATTGCATGAAGTAATGGTCCCAGGAGCGTTCCCTGGAGTACATTTGTGTCGAGTGTAAACGAGGCAGATGCTTCTTCGCGTTGTAGTTAATTCACAGAAAGGTATACGCGAGGCATTACGTCAGCATTGCTTTATTTAAGGGTTCATCTTTAAGGGATGCGATAGGCAAAGGGAAAAGTTGGTTGAAAATTGGCCTTACATGTGATTCAGAATAAACGGTCGTGCTTATATGCACACATGCTTAGTCTGTCTACGGCCAGTGACTACTGACTAGTTCTAAAAAGGTAGAGGGCTTATAAAGCTAAGGCACACAACTAGAGTGAAAGACTTCCGCTTTGGAGAAAGATCAATAAAGAAATCGAAAATGTGTTGAAGATGAAGCCTCTGGTGTCATTATTTCTACAAACAGCAACACACACAGGCGATTTGAGGAACAATTCTTAAAGTATAGTCTTAGTTGGCCTTTGTAGGAATCAAGTTATACATTGGGTATTTAACAAATGCCCTTTGAATCTCTAAAGCGCTATTAAGATAAAACTAATGTTCCCTTTAGGGGCATAGGGTGGGTAATGACTGATGGGGAAATGACACATGTCGGTTTATCAAAGTCATCATAACAAGAATTAAAATGTTTTATGCTTAGGGCTTATCAGTTCTTACCTAATATATTAACAGGATCGTCTCAAATCAGGTATACTTCTAACGGTGTACAGACGTGTATCAGTATGTTTTTGAAGTCTTTGCCCAAAAGTAGAATGATAAATCACACTAGGAGGGATGCAAAATGCTCGTGGTTAAGAACGACTCAAGGGAAGGAACGGCGGGAGGCGGTGCCAATAAAGGCTACTGATGGATGGTTTGAGTGAGGCAGATGACCTGAATGGTATCTCCCTGTATCTGTGTAACCGATATAATCACCCTTCAGCGTAGCACACCACTATTAATCAATTTTGCCTCGTTTGGATCACTTATTCTTCTGTTCTTGCTAACTATTAACGTTATAAAACGCTACCTTCGTGCTCCTTGATTGTACATATGTTTGTTCTTTCAGCACTTAGTTTTTATTGTATTTTTTTCTTTTTTTTTTGTGTGTGTGTGTGGCTTGCCCTCCAAGGCATATTGAAAAAGTTTGGAGAGATATGTTGAATCCCTGGTTAAATAAATAAACGAAATGAAAAGGAAGAAAATTAAGTGACATGAAACTAGAAATTTAGTTATGATACGGCGATGCTTTGATGATGTTTTGCCACCCTTAGGGTTGTTGTTATCTTTTCTGTAATGAGTTAAATTTCACCCATTCAAACTATGTACAAAACACACACACCCACATCTGTCCAGTTAGTTTGTCTGGTATCACGCATATTCTGCTATGATGCGATTCAACTTCGTTGTGCGTCACTGCATTTAGACAGCCAATGGCTACTTTTTGTTATCTTTAAAAGTCACCCTATACTAACAGCGTTGCAGTCATGGAATATGGATTTTGCATGCTTTTAACAGGAAAACTTGAAAGCATGCCATTACCTGCTAGGTACAACGTCATATCAGCCAATCATATTTTGCCCTTGCGATCAGTCTTTTAATAATAGTTACTTTATGTAGTGATGAATTAGTACTTTCCCTTTGCTTTCTCATTGATGATGAAGAACATTGATTTTAGTTTTCCTCTGTTTAAGATTATTATGAACCAAACAGGGAACCCATCGTACAAATGAGAAAAAAGATGTTGATAAAATTCGTAAGCTAGGAGCTGTTTTATTTACGCTTAACATTTTCCCCATCACAAAATTGACTTTGACAACATTTGAGTAATCATTTAATTGCACTTTGAATTCAAAATCACAATTCAGACACATGTTTACTGGTATTATTCAATAATAAGAGTAAAATGTTTAGTGCACCTTACGTTTTAAAAGAGCATCTTAGATTATATTTTTAGGTACTGCATGCGTTTTCGAAAAAGTAACAACTAGGGTCAACTACATCACAAATATAAATTCTAGCTTGTTTAACAATATTATTATTATAAATTCCATCCAAATTATTTAATTCATATCCTTGAATCCTCTTACTAGTTCATAGACATATTTTGTATATACAATACATTCATCTATACTATCCAGCAAAATCATGTAGTCGTGTAAAAGCAAAATACATACAATGTCCATTAACCATCATTGTTTAGCATATCATTTGCGACTGTTTGGTTTTTAGTTACATTGTTTTCCACAATGATTCGTCTACTCGGCACAATAGATAAGTTGCACATGTTTGGTGAAAGAAAGTTTGTTTCTTGTACATTTGGTACTCCATTTCCTACAGGATTGCCTTGACGAGAAAAGCGCCTCCCACAAAAAGAGCTCATTTCCGGACTGTGCCCTACGGTAGGAGTAGGCGTAGCTTGCAAGGCGTTTGAAGCGTGTGTACGTTTGGTGGCCCTTCTTGTAAGTTTCCTTAGAGCAATGTGTCTATGCAGACTTTTACGAATCGTATCCCTCATATAATGACGGCACTGTTTGTTAAGTATAATAGAGATAACAGGATTAAAAACACTATTGCTGTAACTTAGTATAACGACACTGTAAGGAATCCAGCTGTTTTCTGGAGTCATAAGAAAGTGTTCAGTCATGTTCAGTATTTGGAATATATAAAAAGGAAGCCAGGATAAAGCAAATAGAACAACCATACCATATACAACACAACTTAGAGTTAGCTGCTTTTGCATTCGTCGACCGTATCTACTGCCAACTGATGACCTGTACACACAAACCAGGACTACACTACATATCAGTACCACCAAGAAAGGAAGAACAAAGCCAACGAATGTGCTGTACAGAACAAAACTTAATGCCCATATCCCCACAGGTTTAGGCCAATAAATGTTGCAAAAGGTCTGTCCCGTGGACGAAATTGTTTCTGTTGTGGCAAACGCGAGGACTGGTGAAGAGACAGCGAGTCCCAAAACCCACATGAAGCCGTTAATCACCGCAGCAGTTTTGACTGTCCGACATCTTCGGGACTTTAGCGGCAATGCCGCGGCGATGCAGCGGTCAGCGCTCATGGCGGTCAGGCAGAAGATGCTGGTAAACATCGTCGTCGTGTCCGATGAAAGGACGATTTTGCACACGATGTTCCCAAACGGCCACGTTTCTTTATAAATATTCGTCGCGAAGAAGGGAATCCCCATGAGAAACAACTCATCAGCAATGGCTAGGTTGAGCAGGTAAATGTTCGGTATTGTTCGCAGACGACGACTTGTTAAAATCGTAGTGATGAGAATGACATTCACGAGCAAGCCTAACGTGCAGATGGCAGCGTAAGTTCCAGTAAGCACATCTTTGATGTTCTCAGTAGAACCTGCCATCTGGACGGTTGTATTGTTTGCTGCCGCCATCTTCTTTTCAGTAACACTTGATGATGCTCTATAATATCCTTGTTTTGTCAAAAGTAAATTTTAAAGACACGTTAGTCAACCAGTATTCCAGCTTTAAACGTTTCTTAATGCAACAGGTACTTAATTAGAGCTCGCCATATTGAGGAATTTAATGGCTTTTGGTAATCACCAATATGCATGTAGCAATAAATTACCTTGGGACCAATCTTTTAACCACATAGGACCTCATTACTCATGGCTCGTTTAATTTTTCATAAGTAACCTGCAATAAAGATGACTAATTAGCCATTCAACCTTAAAGTTAGATTATTATTACGATGAGCTAATCTACAGTCCAATATCTATATCTATTGTAGCATGCATATAATTCGATAACTGTAAACATGTGATTCAGAAGAAAAGAGGAGTTACTTACCAGATGGAAATTTACTAGGCAGCGTCTTGGCGATTGTCGGTTTTGAAATGCGTTTCCTTCGTGAACGCAGTAGCTCTAGACTCGATGCCAGCTGGACGATTGAGTTCTAAAGAAGTACTAAACCGGTAAAGCCAGCCACTACATCAACACCCGATGTCAGAAACCGATAAGGGCGTCATTCACTCGGTGGTGAGTATACAGCATGTGACGTTAATGCGCAGGAAAAGTGTTGCTCGACCGTATTCCCTATCGTGCCGTTGTCAGTGTGTGTGGCAATTGGCATCCAACCCCTTCATCTCGTCTGTGCCCCAGACGTCAGCTTTCTTAGTCATAAGGTCCTTCTCTTGAGGATAATTAAGACACTCACGCTTCGTTGCCATTTACTTGCAGACTAATACTAGCTTTTACCATGCCAAGAAAGAAATATATCCCGCAGTGGTGTGACGGAAAGAAGGTCCCCCTTCGAGAACCTCCAGCATTTTATATCACTATTAAATTGCACTGTGCTTCCCAAGGCAAGAGCCGCAAGTCCCCTAAAAGGATCACGACACTTTTAGTGGCTTAGATTCAAAGCTGACGCCTTCAAAACATAGAATATATAAAGCTAAATGTCCTGTTTGTTACCAGGGACGTAATTGTGCCGGGGTGTTTTTAGTACTAGACATGTGTGAGTGCGCAAATGATGCTAGCATCTTTACAAATGGTTACACGCACTTTGTGCCTTAAAGATTGTTAGAAATCCGGATAACCTGTGTATTTGCTGTACTTTATCGTCAAAGATTTGTTTTCACATTGGAATGTCTTGAAAGCAGATCGGGATATGACTAACTATGGGCGGAAAGAAACGTCGCCCACAGATTCATGCATTCACCAGTTGATCTTTACATTTCAAAGGTTACCACTGAACCTCTTTTATATAGGGCACTTCTTCAAAGAGAATCTCCATGGCTCACAATGTCTCCATGCATAACCGGTCAGGAATACGGGATCTGATGCCGAAATGGCGAAGCGTTAGTCTGAACACGCCCGTCTAGTTTTTGTATGGTTTTCTATATTTTATGGTTTTCTGCCTACGATGCTTTAAGGGTTTTAACTTCATAGTCGTCTGTATAAAGTATTCAGCAACTGAACTATGGCATGTCTATTTTGTTTTAATGTACTAATGCAAAGATTGAATTTCAATAATATAGAACCTGACTTATTGAAACATTGCTTCCTTTGAAAATTCCCCTGGTGTCTTGTTATGATCATTCCAGTTCAACTTGATAGCACCGGTGCCATTTCTCAAATCTGGTAATCTGTCCGTAGATCTTTTATGCCGAATGCATAACGGATAGGCAAGATTTAAGAGATGACAACAAGGATTTGGAAGACCGATGGTTTGACGTTTTCTTGATGTCCTGATGGGGTCATTGTACGATTTTTTTAGATATGATTCAGAATGGGTTTGCAATATTGTTCGGACCCTCTATACAGTCTGCTTCGCATAACTAGTGATTTATTTAAAAGAATAATGTGTTTTAAAATTGTAAGCATTTAAGATATTAAGATTTTATAGCAATATCCCAGTCTTTTTTGTAGCTTTAACGTATGTTCCAGATGTTCAAGCAGTATCTTTTGTAGCAAAATATGCCTATAGCTAGCTGTAAGTCAACATCGTGCTAGGTTACCAGGAACATTACGCGTAGAAAAGTTTAGTTACTTGCTTCCGTTATAATGATTTTTATAGCTTCCTAAAGACCATGCTTGTACTATGAAACCACCCAATAAATTCAGCTAACTTAGACTAATAGACCTCAGTCTAGTTCTGACTAAGATGGCCGTTACATGTGCAGATGCCTGGCTAGTACAGTGACCAAGACAATTACTCTGCAAGACAGTTTAAATGTAGAGACAACAGATAAGGAATTAAAATAAAATCAAGATATTTCCTCCGTCCTCTACAGAAACATATCTGTATGCAGAGAAGTTCAGTCAAAATAGTATATAAGAACTGATACTGCCTTACGTATGTCACGCTTGTTGCCATTTATTTGCAAAGGTCCTATAATTGTGATAGATATTTAAGACCATCATAAAACATACAGGGCCTTCTTGACGCCGAGACCACGGGAAGTCGATGTAATGATGTACTAAACTTGACTTGGTTAAAACGTTTCTGTCGTTAGAAACACTTTTAAATTGGCTAGTCTTGCCTTCTATCCCGTCTAACACGACTCAAACGGCGTTCGCCACAGGTGGGCCGGGGATAAATGGTGACGAATGTTTTGCCTACGACACCCCGTAGCGGTTACATGCGAGTCAGCCATTCATCTTTGACACTTCCAACTTCAAAGGTTATTCATTAGATGCATATTCTTTTCTTTTACCTTCCCTGTATACATATAGATTCTTTATTTACTGAACAAAAAGTACAGGGACATTTGTATGGTCTTTTACAACAAAAGATCTAACAAAGCTAAATACATGTATGTACATATATGTACCAGAATAAAAGGAGTAAAATGTGCATGTAGCAAGTTTTGAATGATTGTTAAGTTCCTTGTGACTGAGCTTTTACACAAATAAACGTTGTGAAACATCTTGTTAATTCTTGGTTATCTCCTTCGTTTTTGGTTTTAGTCGGCGTCACAAACAAATATTCAGGACCATCTTGATTTTTGATCATATGTTAAATTTGCAGTGTTACTATAATATAAACTAGCAGAATGTTTCCAAATGTTTATAAAACGTTTAGGTGTGGACGAAAGATTCGGCCATGGTTGTCTGGAGGTTTGACTGAAGTTCGTGAGCAGGGCGGGTCTTTGTTTGCTGTCAAATTTGACTCAGAATTAACCCAAAGCAAACGTCAGCAAACATTGGCCGGCTTGTATTTGGAGTACGGTTCAAAATGTCTCACATGGGCTTAAAAAGTGTATAGTTAAGTTGGGAGACACTTGTACATTATAAACATCCAAACTTTGGTACCAACCAAGTCTACACATCAATCAACAGTTTATCACCATATATAAATTTACAGTTAATGTCTCTTTTCACCCAGTGCAAGGCTGAGTGCACATTAACAGTGCAATAAAGAAACTAACGCCTACGGAGTGCTGGCAATTGTGAGTTTTTTTTTATTATCCCCTAGAAGACATCACACTTACCGTTAGGGAGGTCCCCTGAAGCTTAGAAAGGCATTATATAAATGGTGGTTTGGTCTTTGGAGATTCACGACAGCCATAAAACGCCACTAGTACCGTTTAGTTAAGTTCAGTCCATCACCCAAGGGACGGTATTGACGTAGAAATCTTAAATGGCAATTTATTTGGCATAACTGCAATTGATGTTTGAGACCTTACAAAAGTCGCTGTACTTTTGTTGTGTCAATAAAGTTCTTTTATGTTATGTATTTTGACAACTTTATCCATGTCAGTATATCGGTAGTAGGGTGCTGAACTTTATTTCTACACAATGGTACACGAGGATTGCATTTATAACAACCACATACACATCTCAAAATGTGGTATACCATATTTCATGCCAAGGAATTACAAAGCAAAGAATTCTACATTTGCGAGACAGAGCGCTGTCAACACATTCATTTTATCTACATTTATTTTTTTTTACGTACTAAGCTTTTCACAATTCTGGAATCAAGCACAATGAATTTTAAGAGATTCTATACTACAGACAAATTTTGATATGTATTTGTAATTTTCAAATTTGTAATACATGCAACTCCCAGATTGAAAAAAAAAATAAATATGTAAAAGACTGCTTTGTTATTTGAAAAATACCAAAAATCGTGATTAGCCCCACTCGATTGTAACAGTGTATCAAAGATAGATTTGCCACTTGGACTAGCCCCTGTTGTTTGAGTAATTAGGGTTTATTAGTTTTTTTTTCAATATAAGCTTCTTCTATACTTATTTTGTACTTTGTTCAATTATAGCTGTTGCCATACATTGTACCGTCTACAATTGTGCAAAAAGTTCTTCCATATCGGATCACTTGGCAAGATGTTTCACTGGACAACGTCAGGATACTGGACACTAAACAGGACCATTATTTTAGAAGCATATGCAAAAGAATATATTTTATACAGAGGCACTTTGGTCATCACTGAGAAGCCAGAGGCAGTGAACAATATGAATGACCTGGAACGTTCGAGCATTTTCTGACATCACGTGTCCAGATTTCTATTGTGGGGAAGGTCACGTGTCCATAACTCTCGCGAGATTACGTTCGGAAGTGATTGGTCATAGATTATTCTGACAAAGCCGACAGTGGTCTAGATTTGATATGATTCTTACGTACTCTTTGCCAGTTTTTAAAACTTATTGTATGTTTATAAAATTTTGTCTTATGGATTTTGCTACCATTAATAATAATAATAAATACTGTCGTTCCCACGGTCAATTAAAACCGGAATAAGACCACCGCAACGTTTTAATCCGGAAAGTTGCTTGCTCCATTTTCTTTATGACTGAATTCAATTCTCGAATTCTCGAAACTCTTTAAAATATGCCATGACAGTAACAAATCTTGTCAACTCTTCAAGGTTCCCTAGAGGGCGCTTATAACGCTTGTGCTAATTCACCACAACAAACGACTGCTGCTGCTGCATATTGAGTTTTACTGTCATAATTGTAACAATAGTTTTACTTGCATCGTTGCCATCATTTTACGAGATAATACATCATAAGAAAATACTGCTTTAGATATTAACGTCAGAAACACTCGCCATATTAATACCATCCTTTCGATTTACCAACAACCCTTAGTTGACGTTTCGAAAATAACCCCAGCAGGCAGGATTTCAAATCATTTTGTGGTGTTACCGTTACCTGCATAACGATAAGCTTTGCCTGTGGCGAGGTTTCCTATTATGTCTAAGAATGACCTCGCCCAAGGTAAGGTGTGTTAGGCCACAGCAAGTACATTTGATGGGTGGCATCCTCAGCAGACTCCAAATCGAATGCGATACAAAGCAAGGCGGGCCTAAAAACAACGTGAAGATTCCTACATTTTTAATTATAAATTTTGACATTATAACCAGTGTTGAACAAGAAATGATACGTACATTATGCTAAGTTTACTTTCATCTATTACAACATCAATATCTCACTAAAACAACTTCTCTGTACAAACGGTTTCGATTCTGTGGGGACACCAAATATACATAGCGCCCATTACATATAGATTGAATGAAATGCATCACTGCATCAAAGTAAAAGACATCAGAGCCTTGCCTTGTCTCCTCTCTTTATACATGTATTTATCTGCTATCCTCGCTCCGGCATAGCAACAGACATCTTTACACATTTTCAGCATGTTGACCACTGTCATAGGGCAACCTAATTTCTTTTCTTTTTACAAAGTCAGGCGGGAATTAATGCACACGCTGATGTTATCCAAGAAATTACTTATAATATAATAATACTGGTTTATTTCTTTCGTACTATGCTGTACAGAGTAGCAGGGTCCCCGCAGGGCCCTGAATTGATCTGCCGCATTACAAATTGTTAAAAACGGTTGGCACAAATATTAAAAGCGATTATTAAAGACAGTTAAAAACAGCAATTATTAAAAGTATTTACAATAGGTGGCGATCATAGTCAAGCGGTTAAAAACAGCAAAATTGTTAAAAGTATTTACAATAGCATATACCGTGTCATGACAGATTGTTGTATTTGTTCAGTAGTCTTACAAGGAAAGGTATGCTACTGTTTCTAAATCTTTCAGTTCTAGTTCTGATTGTGTTTAGATCGTTACAATGTCTTGTGTGCCTGCAGCTGTTACTTGTCTGCCCACGGGAGGGGGGGAGCAAGTTTCTAAAGAAGGGACTGTTCAACAGTTTCTTCCCGAAGCGGAGGCACAGCTGTGGCCTAAGTATTTTTTTTCGTGGATGGTAGTCCATCCGACCAGACAGACGATTGTTGTGGGTTGAAATTACATTCTTTATTTGAACGGCTACAACAAAATACATTACGAAGGCAAAGGCAGCAATATCTTGTGTCGTGCACCACACATTACCACTACAACTCTAGATATAGATGGGATTTGCAGGTAATCATTCAACACGTGTCCTCAGAATACCTGTTTACCTTGAATACGAGCAATGCGTATCATGCTGCGTCGTACGAAAGAGAGGTATCCAGTGCAGTTTTTAGGGGTTGGAAACCAGATTTTTCAAAGTCAATATTCTAGTCTGTTATCTACATGCTAAATTGAAACAACACTGTCTCAATGTATGTCGACATTCTTGGTGAAAAAAATGCCCCAAAATTCTGACGAAAAATGGTTACTGGAAGGACCTGATTTATTTTAGGGTACCACCCAGAAAATAAAGGACTAATGTTGGGGTTTGTTTTTGAGGTTTTTTAGATGCCCAAAGTATGAAATACTGATCCAAATGTGCTAATGTGGGACCGTATGTGTCAATATCATACAGATTGCTTCATTCAGAATATGTCCAGTTTTGCCGCCCTAAAATTGCATTGGATGCCTTTAAACATATACATTTTTCTTACCCTGTTCTGTTGATCTGTTCTACATATGTACAAATTCACATGATTCACAAATTAGTGTTATCAATGTTAAAGACAGGAATAAGATTTGATTTCCCTCCTGGCTTTAGTACACTAATATTGTTGACACAATTTTACATACTTATTATTGTAAGGCTAATCTATGTACATGCAGACAATATCTAGCGCATCATCATCATCATCTAGCGCATGATACAATCACAACAACAACAAGGTGGTCCATTTATCCAGCTTGTGAACTATATGCATTCTAATTTTATATCCCTTACAACAATAAAATACCGAGCAGTATGTGTTTTATTACATGTCTCTAAGGTCTATTTCACTATTGTGTTGTTATGTTTTATAGTACACAAAATGCATGGCCTGTCACACCAAACCATTGCATATTTACAAACCTTATTTAAATCTGTCTAGAGAGACAAGCTCATGCAGGCAAAGATATCCTCTGCATGATAGTTGATCCTATTGCGGTATATACATATTATTATCTTGTAAATAAATCTTTTAGAAGATATATATACAACGTCACTAGTTTCTACTTGCTGTTTTGTGCTTTCGTCAATGTACCTATTATATTGTATATCCAAATAGGTTATACAGTGTGTGCAACACATCAGCACAAGCAAGGATTAGATGAAATTCGTTTGTATTAAAAAAAGGTATCAAAAGGGCCATACTAGTCGTTAAGCACCCTATTAAAAATTCAACTGTCCCAAGATTACGTGGGTGTGTTAACAGTCTGTAAATGTACATAACTAAATAATTAATCAGGTTAGTGGCCATTGAAATGTCGGTCACTGAACACACTGTTAAGGGGCGCCCCGTAGCGGAAAGTGTTTGAGTTACAAGTCGAGTCAATTATCGATTCTTAAAACGTTGGAAATAGAATGGTTGACCTTCAATTTTTAAACGGAGTCTGTAGTACCTACCTGTACGTCCTCCGGGTGATCGTTGGTCTGGTAGTTCGGGTGTTGGACTGAAAATCGTTGATATTTCAAGACCATACATGTATTGGGTTGGTCAAAGATTACTTTGAAATTTCATGAACGAACTATGAAAGATTATAGACGACGGGGGATAGATGCCCGATTGCGTGCGGAACGTATCAGGATAGCTTTAAACCCTGTGCGAAAATTATGATTGAAGTAACCATATATAATTGGATTGACACAACTATTAAAATAAGACAACCAGTGGGCCACGGGAAAGCAGTAACCGTGAACAACGACCGAGTAAACAGAGTCCACGGAGTAAGGCATGGCGTCGTCGACCAATATGAGTGTGTGTAGCGGCAGCCATGACAGTGCGAACACAACCACTACAACGATCAACATCTTAATGACCTTGACCTTTTTCTTTGTGGCCGTTTCTCTAGCCTGTTCGGACACGTTTCTCTCATCGCCCGGTGCTTTTCGGAACCATATTCGATATGCTATTCGCATGTACAGAATAGTGATGATCAGTAAGGGACCGACAAAGGAAAACACGAATAGCGTGAGGCTAAACATCTTTTGGAAATCTCGAGAAGACCAGGAGCCGTAGCTAGGCCACTCTTCTGTACAGAGTGGGGGGTTATAGGGTTCTTCTCGTTTGACGAAGATCACTGGAAGAGCAATGAGGATGGCCAACAGCCAGATTATGGCGATAGACTGGACCATGCGAGGCAGGGTGATGATGTCTTTAGTTGGGTGGACAACAGCACAGTATCTGTGGTAAAAAAATGCAAAGCTTTGAAATTAGTTACATAAAAAATTAACTTTTTTTTTAATTCCAACATTTGACATGACTAAACATGGCGACGACACACTCAAATTTTTCAACTTACTAGTATTTTTATACCGCCACCAACGCAAAGGACAAATACAGGACAGGGTAGTACTCTTTTTCACTTGAGTTAAGTGAGGATGAAAATCGTGTAAAATGCCTTTCTGAAGGACACGGAGATCGGTGGCATGTTTGGACCCGGGACCCCTTGGTTCCGAGTTGAGCACTCTGCCGTTACGGCACTACCTCACATAAAAATTAACGTTAGTAACGCTCTCCCTTCTAAAATGATCATATTGCTTTTCCTTTACTTACTTAGGCTATGATCTTAGTAAAATAACAAATCATTCACAATACGTTGACTGAAAACAACATCAATCTGCATTAGTGGGGTACTTCAAGCTCTTGAATATATTATACATATTTTAAAATAACAAGTTTGTCTAAATCACTCAACGTAAACCTACAGGTAGATATTAATAAGCATCATGGGAGGTGTGGCAATAAGAAATGATCTGGTATTGTGAAAGAAATGGATGAAAAATTGGACACTAAAACTGACGATAGACACCAGGAGCTAGAAGGATTGTATTGTCAATACTTTCATGTCTTGGGAATTTTCAGTAAGCACATATGACAGAGCACGCAATTATTCAAGTCATTGTCAAGTTGTTTTTATTGGTAGTTCTCCCTTGTTAGGAACCCTCTTAAACGAGCTTTACTGTGACTTCCCACCAAGGGAAAAGATCAATCGAACTCTGTGTGGGCATAGCATGTTGACAAGTATTCTCCTGGTGGTACTAACAAATAACATACAGAGTCTACATGACCGGAATATCTTATTCAGAAAGTGTTCAGGCATATACATATTGCATTTACAAATTTGAAACATATTTCTTCATTTTGCTGTTGTGTCAAAAATTGCAAGAACAATGTTCTGAGTCTGAATTTAATAGTTATGTATCTCACATTATAATTCTTCATCCATCTAAGTAAAAAATATACAGAATACAGTGAGAATAACTGGAGTAACATTGAGTCTGGAATGGGTAAAATTTGACATATGCTATCCACAAAAACCAAAATGGATCTTAAGCTACTTGGTAAAACACAGCAAGGCCGTAAATTCGATTGGCTAAATTTACAGATAGTGGGACAAATGGCTTCTTAACGAGACTAGAGAGGCGTAAGTTTTAAATGTCAAACGCAAAAACATGGACGTAAAAAAACAACGTGAGTGCTTTGGATGAATGCCATACTCGAGTGGTTGTAAGTTTTTAATGTGTTCTGACGCCATTTTGGCTTTACAGCGTAGGGGCAGCATTTAGGAGTTATAATGGATCTATATGGCAGTAGGGAGGTTGAAAACTGTAAATTTTGGATGGTTTCCACCCTCTTCAACTAAGGTGACGCTCTGTTTGGTTACTTTAAAAAAGCATTGAACATATTCAAAAAATACATTCATGGGCCACAGAAGCCAATTTGGGGCGCTTAAAGTTCACTTATAAATGCTGTGTACTTACCTGTCTACTGCGATGGCCACAAGTGTAAGGACGGAGGCAACAACAGAAATCACCGTGGTGGCGGCGGATAACTTACACATGACAACTCCGAACGGCCACCCTACGTGTAAAAATAAAAGATAACAGGTGTGTTAATTTTTACATAGGACCATAAGAAGAAAATCTCAATAATCTCATAGTCCAACGGCATTTTCTAACGGAAAACAAATCAAACAAAAACCATCTCAATAAGTTTGTTTACAACGTTAACATTTTACAACATGATGTATTCATTGCCACAAATACTATAATTTTCACTATTCATACTGCACATAGACGAGTAATGCCGTGTGTAATTAAAAACAAATGCTAATATTCAACGTAGAGGTAGACAACCCCATTTACTTAATTTTTCCTGGATTATGTTTGTATCAGGCATCTGAAGTGTTAATGAAAATGACTTACCATAGACGATGTTGTCCACCAACGTAAAAGGCATACAGAATACAGCGACAAGAAGGTCCGCTACAGCCAAGTTCAAGATGAAATAGTTGGTCACATTTTGCATCCTCGGTAATTTTACTACCACGAGGCAGACCAACGTGTTCCCGATCATACAGAACAGAAATATGAGGGTATAAGAAAGGACAAACAACACGATGACGGGAACTGTCTGCTTCATCAGTCCCTCGTGCTGTGGAGTTAGCGATGTCGTGTTCAGAGATACATTCATGTTGCTGGATGTATCTTCTGCTGTCCGCTTCTTCCCGAGCTCCTAGTTTGAAATACTCAACTGTAGCTAGTACGTATACGCACCGAGTAGCGCTGCTGTAGACCGGGTTTGTTCGCATAAGTCTTTCAGTGATAAAACTTCAGCGGGTGATACGATAGGCCTTCCAGCAGCGGCGTGCCTCCTGGATTTGAGTAAATATGCGATGACTTCCCAAACTTATATCGGCTTTCAAGGTCTATATAGCCTTCACGCCTATGCCCCACGCAAGCTCAAAGTAATCTACAGAAAGTAATGAATACGATATCCAAACAACCTCCAGAGGTCCAAGAGCGTAGATGAGTTTAAAGCCTTTCAGAGATGTTCATCGCCCGGGTGATGAGTTCCAATCTCGGCTGAGCCGGTTGGAATGCGCGGATAGCTGATGAACGCCTACGAACATAAGTAGTCTTTCCACCGTCAGATAATTTTCGGCTCTACAGGAGGTATCAACACGGGGAGTCCGGGAGAGAACTATCAGGAGAGATACAGCAGAAAGAAATTGCGGTTAATAAAACGAATAGCGGTTATTGCGCGAGCGTGGTTGACCCTATCACCTCTGACATCGCAACAGTTATGAGAAAACGTGATACGAATATGCATAATGAGCCACATGGAAGCACATGTGACATTTCTATATTAATGCAGCGTTCTTAATGAATTCATCTAATATTTGTTAAGTATCGAGTAGTCTTTAAACTGTTTTTTTTTCTTAAAGGCACCCAATGTAGTTATAGGGCTTAGATTCAGTTGGAAACCAAATTTTTCTAAGTCAATATTTTTTAATCACTTTTCTACATATTAAGTTGAAACCACACTATCCCAATGTATATTCACATTAATGGATGAAAAAAAGTCAAAATTTCTGACGAAAAACAGTTACTGGAAGGACCCTTGGCTGGTTTTTAGAGTACCACCCAGAAGTATAAAATACTCATTCAAATGTGCTAAAGTGGGGCAGTATATATACATATATGTATCAATATCATACAGGTTGCCTTATTCAGAATATTATCAGTTTTGTCGCAATGATATGACTTCAGATAAGAAGAAATACCACAAAAGGTGCATTTTCGTCCAATATCAGGGTCCATTAATCAAACATACGTATGAAAGTGCAATCCATCAAAGCTATGGCTCTAAGTGCCGTGTAGGCCTTCTGTTTGCTCCTAAAAGTCAGCTATGTGGCCGTTGTGTCTTCTACACCACCCGTGCATTACAGTAATAAACCTACGGTGATAAAGTTACACGTGGATTGGGACTTGAATAGGCCGGTCTGATTAATTTGTATAGATCTGTTTGAAGGCAACCCAACCAACTGTGCAACATTACAACTGTGTAGATCAAGGGCTTTGAAATTCAAATGAGAAACCATGACAAAGTCAGTGCAGAATATATGTAAATATTCTAACTCTTTGTAAGTAGTAAAGTGAGTATGTCCCTGTATGATGTAGGACCTGTTTGATGGCAACTCAACAAAGGTGCAACATATTACCAGGTATACTCCGTAAAGATCAAGAGTGTTGAAATTCAAACGAGAAACCATGACAAAGTCAGCTGTATATGTGTATAATATTATACACATGGTGTAGGTCGCCTAATGGTGTCTGGGTCCCTGGTTGGTAGTGTTATGTAAATGTGTCCCTGGATGTCTGTAGCGAGCTCTTACTTTTTACACAAAGTGGCCTCCTGATATCCAGTTTCTTTGTGGAATTTTAAAGTTAGCTCTTTTCATACATATATATATACCATAAGGTGCACTGTAGGGTGTAGTATCTCCATTTCTATAGCCGCTGATGTCGGTTGGACTGTATATCTCTTTTAGTGTAACAACATGTGGCTAGTGCAATGGTGTAGGTGGTGGTTTGAGTTTTATATGCACTTTCATACCTTCATATTATTTCTACAACTGCCAATATTTCAATCAATTTCTATTGGTTGACGTTTCCAAAAACTAACTTTTTATGATTGACTATCATGCAGTTATGAGGTCTTCATGGTCTGGTTTAGCTTTATAATGTCAATGTAGATAAAGTTAGAGTAAATTTAGAGTAACCTTAATATTCTTGAAGATTTGACGTTGAAGATTAGATCCCTTACGCAAGAACGTCTTGCATACACAAATACACATTTATCAATTTATTTTACTTATTCGAAATTATGACAGGCAATACGGGGTGTTCACTAGGCAGCGAGTACGTATGCTGATAGTGTGCACACGAAAAAGCATAGAAGCAATAACACAGTTAAGGGTAAGGAATATACATTAATAACATTATCTCGTAAATCACACTTGTATTTTGATAGTAATCTATTTGGCAGCAATTCAAGGTTTAGTTTGGCTCAGTTGGAAGAGGCACATCGTTTTTGTAGATTTATACCGTTATTGCATACACAAAATATTTATACCACATATATGGCCTTCAACTGTCTTCCATGTCAGGATGTAAAACGTCCAGTAAATTATGCACGCTCCATCCTTATGTCAACATCAGTCATGTTTCTATTATCAGAATGGTGTCAGCGCTGTTCTGAGCATACCGGTGTTCAATTCCACACAAGGAGACAGGAAATGGGGTGTCTAGTCTAAGGAATAAATGCGTAAGGAGGCCAGCTACAGAAAACTGATGAGGAATTATTCTGACGATAATCCATCACTTTGGAAGGGTACTAAAATTCGGATCACGTCCAGATTATTTCCATTCAACCCACTGAGAATCCGCCGGTGGGTGGAATTTGGACAACCTCATTCGGTTGTGAAAGTTGGTCAAGAATGTGTTGGAAATGTTTGACAGTGTTTGCTTATGTAGTTTGCTGAGGATGGCGCTTTCGTGTGACGATTACGTGCGGTACTGCAGCACCCAAAATGGCGGACATTCAGGAGTAGTGACCTGCAGAGTTGTATTAACTTGTAATAAAACTCGTGATTAGATAAAGGCTACCCTGCAACAAAACACTCTATATTTTCACAATACTCTGAAACACATTCTAGACTACCTCCCTGCCAAAAAAATGTGCAACTGCGTGATGTCTACGTGCAAGATTTTGGGATCCGTAAGTGGTGAGCACCACTTCTGTACGGAATCCTATGTAATCCAACGTATAGGAGCATGTACTCGTAGACACGTCATAGCCTCTACCTGGCTTCGGAAGGGGGCTGGAAAGAGTCGAAATTGGCCAAATAAGAGAGATATAAACATGTCGAGGGTGTAAGTCTAAATTTTGCCGCACCCTGGTCACGCCTGGTAGAGGCCAGCCAAACACGCTACAGCACTTAGAAAGACAGGAAATAGACACGGTCGGATTGCACATGATGTTGAGTTGATATTACACCCTATCGTGAAGGTTATAACATATATACTTGTGTCGATGTCGCATTTTAGGTTAAATGCATCAAATGCAGTTTTTAATGTATGGAAACACAGTTTTATTTTTTATTTTTCAGTCAATATTCTAGTCACTTAATATCTACATACTGAGTTGAAACAACACTATTCCGGTCTATATTTACCAGCTACAGCTAGGAGAAAAGGATTCAAAATTCTGGAATGGTTACTGGAAGTGCCCTTATATATAGGGTGCCGCCCAGAAAATAAAGGACTCATCTTGGGGCTTAATTCATGTTTCTGCAGTTTTAAATGCCTAGGGTATAAAATACTGATTCAAATGTGCTAATGTGGGATAGTATGTGCCAATATGATGCAGATTGTGAGCAAGAAAAAACAAATCTGCAATCTTATTTAGAAGACACTATAGCCCTACCCCACCGCTCGTGACATGGGAACCAAACAGGCCCATATTTTCCCAAGAACACGTCTGTAGAGAGGTGCTATTAGCCGGAGTAATAGCTCTGTCAGCCCGTGTAATCCAGGCTCATCTTTCAATTTAGAATGGACATCAAACCGACAGCAGTTACAAAGATTGATGGGCCCAGTGGTTTCAGAAGTAGCAAACACGTCAGTGGAAGTAAAGATAAACGGTCACGGCTGATGCACTGTGTACTTCGTACTGCAAACTCGATACATGTCTTTTCACAAGTAAGATCGATATGGAATTATCATGGCTTAGTATAAATCCACAATTTGACACCCTTCACTTAAGACACAGTTGTTTCCTGTTCCTGTTTCTTAATTTGTACAAGATTTAGTTTGGAGTACTTGTCAATAATTGCATGTTGTAAAGTATACCGTTAATACCCAATTTCCACTGAAGCGGCAACCGTTGAGCGATATAGTTGAGCTATCTCAAATCTACTTAGTAGTCCGAACGATTTTCATTGATAAAAAAGTGCATTTTTAAAAGGGGTTTTGCTAGCTTGCCGTGTACAATTTCAAAGCAGATGTGTGGTATGCCTGTGTTAACGCGTGTTTTTAAGTTAAAGCATGTATACGTCCTGACACATCCAGTAATTTGTGTTTTCCCTATTCTCCTTCTTCTTTTTAACTACATATATAAAACATGGATAAAACACAGGGCAAAACTTTACATTTGCTTAGTAGATAGCCAGTACATTAATCAAGGTAGTGTAAAGGTATCTGTGAAATGTTATGTGGACAAAAATATAAGGCAAAAGATTTACAAAACGCAGAGTACGCATTGTGAATGTGCAATTGCATTGTAAGCCGCGCCGACGTGTATTGTATTGTAATATTTAGTAATGTGGATTTTGATATGCTCTTAATCTACGTATCTGTAAAATTTTAACGTAATTCAGACGAGCTTTTATTTGAATAATTCAGTTGTGTTTGAAGAAATTCGGCACGTCTGCAAATTCGATTTTAGATAAAGATTTAATTTGATTTGAAGTGCACGTTAATTTTCTTAGTATGTTCCTGGAAAATAATGATTAGCATTATTACTTTCAAATTATGTTTTAGCTCAAGCTAAGAGAATCTTTGTCATCTAAAAAAACATCCCAACAGCGTGGCTCTTTTTATTTATCTGTAGAATATGTAGATAACCCT